TTGAACGCAGCCACATTATTGTCTTCCCAACTTTGCGGTTAAGTCAAATCCTCCAGGATCATCCTGGTTGCAAACTTCTTTCAAAGTTCGCAATCGCCACCCGAGAATAATAAATTGGGGAACACTTTCTGGGGGGGGGGTAACTCACGTAAATTAAACAGAGAGAAGGTCCTTAGGCTGAACCCTTGGAAAAATCATTTGGACATCCTGAAACCTGAGATAACGAGTGATTTGAACTAGCCTTGAATGGTCTATCTGTCTTTCGGTGCTGAATGATTATCTAATAACTTGGGCGTAATTAAAAGACATTCGTGGTTGACCCTGTCAAAGATTTTAGGGATAATGTTTCATCAGTCCACTATGCTCAAAATATACTCTGTGCAGAAATGACCCAGCCTAAAGTCATCTTGTTCAAGCGAAAATAAATTTATGAATTGACGTAAACCAGCGATTTTATGACTTTTAAGGGCATTTATAGAATAGCTATCGCCCAGTAGTTTGAGGGATAGATGTTTCAGCCCCAACGAAGACTGGGGTGATGTGGCCCAGCTTCCATCTGTCTAACTCCGTTCATTCGGTCTCGAAAGTGTGCAGACGGTCAGCTAAGTGATTTCGTCAGAAGTGAGATATCTTCTTCCAGTTCAGTAGGTTAAACCACGTCATTCATTGCCGGCAGTTACGCAATCAGATAACTCAATCATTTATACTCTGAGTAGTCCCAGAGAAGCAGCACGGCCATCCCTGGATGTTCCAGGATGTTCGCAGTTTACTAAGACAAAAGAAGAAATGTTGGAGTGTCGCCTTCAGCATTGGCACAGCAAGTACGATGTTATGCTACAAGTCAGTGAAAAATAAGCTTATAATTGTAATCCAGAAAGCTCAGAGGAAATATGAAATGCACACTCTGTAATCAAGCCGCCTAAGAGACTAGTCTCGTGTATAAATTACGGAACAAGGACGCATCATTGGATCCCCAACCTAATTACGGAAGAGAGCGGACCTAAATTGATAAGGGATGATCGGAATAAAGCGGGGCCTATGAGGAGCACTTTTCACTCAGGATCCTCTTCTAGACGATGAACTAGATTCATATACAAAGCTGATAAATCATCTGTTCACTCTGAACTTCGATCGGGACGATGTAATAATAATAATAGAATTCTACCAGGGCAGATTGCATGACATTTTTCAGGTATAATCTACAAATGAGAATACTACGTTGGCTCACGGTATGCTTCCTTAATTAGAGTCGTCAATAGATAAAATCAATAAAAGTTGATAATAGTGCATTCGTCTAGATGTCTTAGAGCCCTTAGCACTCTAGACACGGAAAAGTCAACACGTCCGGATAGACTACACTCAAAATCTTGAGACAAATTGCATAACATATTGCGGCCCCACTGACTGATATTCAGTATGTCACTTGGTCGGGGTGTGTTATCTACGGACTGGAAGGATTTCACAATACATAAAACAGGACCAAGACAACTTCCAGCGAACTACAGACATATCAGCCTCACCGATGCCGTAAATAAACTGCGGAAAAAACGCAGTCAAAAGCCCATAGTGACACTCCTGGAAACCGACAACTAGTTAAACAGAAATAAATTTGGCTTCAAGAAAGGAGTATTTTGCACAAACGACCTCCTTATAAAATAAAGTAATGGATAGGGGCTCCAGATAATGGAAAATCTGCATAGACTTTAGCAAAGCATTTCATTAGGTGCCGAAAAACTAGATCGCTCTTGGAGACTACGTCTCAGTGCTGTTAGGTTGCATCTTAGTGGTTTAGAACCCTATGGGCTTAAAGACGGATATTCGCCAAGTAAGATACGGTTATGTTCACCATAGTATATACAACCTTAGTGAGAACTAAACCTGAAAACTGCGTTCAGGCTGCAAGCCCTTGATTAAAAGGTGACTCTTATATCCTGGAAAAGTGAAGAGGGTAGTTACCCACGCAATTCCATAGATCCGAAATTCGCCATACACAGAGCGGTTTCAGAAGCCAGACCTATTTATTCTATCCAAACTCAGATTAAGTGGCGATCTGATTTCGACACATATTATACTAGGGAATGATTCTGGCCCTGATATATCTTCTCTTTATTCTTCTATCAGATCAGCGGACGAAAAAAATACCAGTGGCATGCATGGTTTCAGGATGGGTCACTTCTTGTATAACCAACTGGCTGACTGCTATGGACAGGTGAACAACCACCTTGATTGCAAGGGGAACGTTGACGTCGCTTGCCTTGAATTCTCAGAAGCTTTTGGTAGGGTCAACCATATAAGTCTTATCGTTAAGCTCAAACGATTGGGTATCAGACCATCTCTAATTGAATGGCTCACTTCATACCTTCAAAAGTCGACATTTTAAGGTCAGGGTTAACTCCACTTTCTCTCAGGCTATGGAATGTCCTAGTTGGGGTCCCCTAGGGTTCAGCGCTAGGACCTCTTCTGTTCTTGATTTATAGAAACGATCTTCCCCAACAGGTACCATCTGGCTTATTACTTTTTGCTGATGATTTGAAACTTTGGAGAGACACGCAACCAAGAGGATAAACCGGCACTTTAGAAGGATCATACCCGACTTCAGAGTTGGGCAGATGACAACTGACTTATCTTTCACACTTCAAAGTGTAAAGTAGTCCATCTGAGACATGTAGCAGACTACAGTTGCAACTTAGGAAATTCCTCTCTAGAAGTATCCCAAGTTGAAAAAGATTTGTGAGCGCTGGTACCCTACGGTTTGAAGTCTTACGCTAACTGCGACAAAACTGCCTTTTGATCAAACCTTACACTGGTAACATTGAAGTGCATTTTTGACCAGTTTGACGGTAGAACTTTCCACCTAATTTTTAAAAGTTTCGTTTATTCCCATTTAGAGTAGAGAGACATAGTATTTCCCCCTCATTCCAGTAGGATAAGGACACTCTGGAGTATATCCAACGGCGAGCCACGAAACCAGTTCAGGGAATATAATTCAAGCCTTATGAAGAGCGCCTCCAATCACTAAAACTTTGCCCATTATAGTATAGGCGTCTTAGAGGAGACCTAATGGCTTACAGTATCCCTAACACTACTGTACATCCCTCAAACACCTAATTAAGTTTAGCTCTAATACAAACCTAAGAGGTAACACCCAGAAACTAGAGACAAAACACAGCAGAACGGTCTGTAGACACAACTTCTACGCCTTAAGAATTGTCAAATGCTGGAATTAGCTTCCGACTAAGCTAGTCCAAGCGACTTTCCAGGAGTCCTCTGAGAAGCAACTTGACATATTCCTAAGGGCTATGAATAATATCTTACCATGATTTACCAATTTCTTTTTCCTCTACTATCGTTAATATACCTAGGTTCCTGTCTGGAGGTACTGGTGATCCACAGCCAATAGACACGGAGGCCCGTAAATCGAAAGCTAATTTTTTTTTCCGCCCACAACCTTTTGAAACCATTTGAACGTTTTCACAGAGTCATCAATTCTTGGAACCCGTACCCAGAGCAGTGGTGTCCGCACCTTCAGTTGACTCATTAAAGAGAAGAGACACTAACAGGAACAGAGTGGAAAAGAGTAACATAGGCTGTAGGCCTTCTGCCCTTACTATACAAATCTGAATCTGATCTGAAACTAAAAGATGTAGTTCGCGATGTCCTAACCCAATACTTGAATTACTATAGGATAACAGTTCTAGTTAAAGCATAAACATGGTACTCATCTAGCACTGAATTATCATTAATGTAATCTCGAAATATATGCATTGGATTCATAACGTCTTTTGAATGAACTACAGTTTGGTTTCTAATACCACTAGCACTGTTTCAAATAGTACCAAGGTCGCTGGATGGATCTACTTGCTAATTTTAATGACTTAGAAGAGTGTTTAATATCCGATGATCTTTTCGAAAATTACTTCAATTATTTCCTGTCGCTTCCGGTTAGAAATACATTTTCAGTATAAACAGTATATTTATAACAGGTTTTTTCGCTTAAGTTACAGTACAATAGACTAAGTGGTGAATTTACCCTCACGGATTCGCATGAACTTGATACCAAAGAGTCATCACGTTTGGGTCTTTCGGAAGAAGATCGAGAACGCGTTATTAAATGGGCTGAGTCGGAACGTCTTCCATACTTTATGCGGTAACTTACCTCTTTGTAAAAATATTTTCAACACTTCCGTAAACAGGAGCGATATTTACAGGGAACTACTACTATGCAAGTTCTTGATAGCCCCACTTGAAATGAATACTGATCTCATCGATTATTGGGAGCCGTTCAGTGCAGATTTAGCTAGCACTTTAGGTTGTCATCCTGGAGTTAGTAGGCATACTTATACTTCCTGGACGACAGATCTCAGCACTTATGATGATGAAACAGAAAGCAGTTATGATTACAATTCTGAAAAAGTTAGTGAAGTTTGCTTGGTCCGAGTGTATATATGAGGAAATGCTGTGATTTTTAATGAACTATACTGATGACCGACACTCGTTAGCTTTACGTAGGTTTATATCAGTTTGTTGAAATAGCTCTCATTTAAGGAATTTTTCTTCAGCCTACGGTGATACGTTATTAAAAATAAATACCTGGCACTATTTTTTAAGCTTTTAGTACGGTGACGACATACTTTCCCTCTGAATGACTAAGTATTAGTTGCTTTCATGAATAACACTGGTAGAGGATTTCACCGTGTTACCGTGTCATGTCAAGAATTAGCTTCGGTACTCAGATGTTTTTTTTCGTTTGCAAATCCTTTCATAATGCCTAATCACCCAGTCAAATGTAATTGGTAATCACTATAGAATCTGGCAATAACGAAGTCCAACTCAAACACAACCATCAAACTAAACTACTTAAAAATCTAAACTAAGAAGAGTTATTTATTTTTTGGACACTAATAAGGTAAAAAAATTGCTACGTAGTTGCGAAATGGCTGTCCTGATTATTTCATATATCATTATTACTTCTAGTGATTACAAATAATACTTTTGCACAGAAATAATTTGAAAATCTGGATTTCCTTAATGTATTCTGTATCTTATCCGTGAGTTTATCTAGTGTTTCCCCATTTCCGGATTGAGCATAAAATCCGTACTATCGAAATCCTGAAAGTGTACTTCATCAGATGTAAGTTGTGCATTCCTAAATCTTTAGTGTCTAGAATCCGTACCATCCATATTCAAACATTCTTCACCAGAATCTCCGTGGACTGTTGAAAGTCATTCCCATGATAACATATTACCCCCACAAACTGAAAAGATCTCATATTCGGACAATAAATACCTTCATCCAATAATTTTTGAGCAGTCTGTCTCGTTGGAGAATGTTTGGAATCCTTATTTTGCATCAAAAATGTTTTAACACTCTTCATTAGTTTATCTATTGTTACGGTAGTAATGGAGTTATCAACAGTTTTTAACACCTTGACGAAATTGTCCTTCTAACCGTCAGAACGAATGTCTTTGGGAGCAACAAACAAATGTTTTCAACCTATCTCATCCAACGAGGTAGAAACTTCATTTGTAGTAATATGAGAATCACAATTAGTCACTAATATCATAAGAACCTCTTTCCGACTGAACTGTTTTTCAAATTCTTGGATTGAGAGGTCAGTGCTCGCTAAGATTATAAAAAATAATTCGTCATAATTAAGAAAGGAACTAGTAAAAACAAGTGCATAATATTTGCCGAGAAATGGACTATAATAGTCTACATGAATTCTCTCCCAGACCTCAAATGATACTGGTCATCTGGTCTACTTTGAGGGATGCTTTTTTGAGTTATGACATTTTTCACAGGTGTGCAATATCTTGATGAAATAGACAGGAAATCTATGTTTCATATTATCGTTCCAATCTTTTTGTATAGCATTAAATAGAACTCTAAATGGTGAACGAGTTTCTCCACTAAGATCTGAATAGCTGACCGTTAAACACTGTATTGATCAAGTCAGAAGTATTCATAGGTTTATCTTGCGACGAATTTCTAGACAGCTAGTCTACGTGTTGAATTTATTCAGCACTTTTGTGCTAATTGGTTTGGTTTTAAGCTTTTGCAGTAACACTCTGTCGTTAAACCATGGCGGATGGGGAACATGCTAAAAATGTTTCGTGATGATAAATGATTTCTAAAACTTAATAACCCGGAACAAAAGTGAATTGCTTTCCAAATAAATGTTTGCAAAGTTGTTTATCAGCCAAAAATACAACTAATGCTTCTCGCCACATATAATAATAACATTATTTAGCGACAGTAAGTTCTCGTGAAACATAGATTACTGGTCTACCTCCCTGCTTTGAAACTCCACCAATATTCACAGGTGACGAATCAATAACAAGTAAAGAATGTATACCATAAGAAAAAGTTCAAAGAAGTGCGTCACGCTGAAAAGCACTTAGGAGACTTTGTTAGCACAACTTTTGCCCCACATTGCATATAAATGAGTTGTATGTTTAAATTTGAGATAGACAGCAAACACAATATAAGTGAATGGAAATTAAACGGGGATAATATTAAAGGGGACCTACCAATGAGTCTAATTCTGTAACGGATTGTGACGATGGTTCCTTTGTAAGCGAGTTTTTCCGCTTCAGACCTAGCTATAAACCACTGTCATCAAACAAACATCCAAGAAATTTAAAGACGGATACACAGAATAAACACTTATTTGAATATACAGGAATATTCTGCTCAAGAAGACGATTTAATGAGACAATAAGTCTCTGATGATGTTTATCTTTATAAACTTCATACCTTTAGGATTACCGACTATGTTATTCGTTAGTCCTTGAGAAATAGCTAGAGGACAACTTCAATGAAATGAAATGTAGTTCTATTTGAATAAATCAAGAGGAGTGTTAATTGTTATTAAAATGAATGAAGATTGATACAAGGGAATTCCAAGGTAAGGATCTTTTAAATCATTTTTCAAGGATGCTTAAGAATCACGAAGTCAATTAAGAATATCTTCAGCCTCAACCGTGGTGCGCGTTTGCTTCAATAAACAAGAGGTCGATGTTAACGTGCAACCACCATATATTTTGGGGACTTCACCATAAGATTTCACAAGATTGCATAGGATTTCCGAGGAGAAATTTAATCGCGAGATAAACGCTTGTCAAAATTATGCTCACTTTTGTATGCTTCTTTAAAATTCTTTGTTGAATTAGTTATTATGTTTCCACGACAATGAAAATCCTTACTAACTAACCACGAATTTGAGAGAGCCTAAGAACAGATTTTCACTATGAAAAATGAATAAGGTATCAGAGATTTTTACATACCGAAAGTCAAGTTCATTCACTACCGTAAAATTAATACGACTCGTTTTAATCTCATGAAGTGAAATTTTAAGTATTTAAATTAAGTGTCTTTCAAATTTCGGGATGTTTGTACCAGCAATCAAACTAACACGAGGTTGAATTTACAGCATATTTTCAAATTTCGATTCTCACACTGTTTTGACAGTTCCAATTAGGAAGCCACATAATTTCAGGCTATTTTAAAACACTATTTTATGGGAATTAGATCATTCTGCATTCAGATTCGTTCACTGAAGATGGTTGAACAATGATTGTTCGAGAGGTTTTTCTGGAAGTGAAATTAGATCGTCCGGGAAATCAAGATTTTTGAGTAGGTTATATGTATATTTACTAAGGACTACAAGGAAATGAGGGGAAAGTTTATCATGCTTGACATTTTTTCTGATCTAACATCAGATTTCAGATCACTCCATATGGTTTTCAAAACTTTCCACTTGAATTAGCATCTAATTACCCAAAAGCTAACACCATCGTGACCCTAATACGATAATTAGGAGCCGAATTTGATGTACTAACTAGCAATTACCGGAACTATCCAATTTGTACTTGAGTAGTCATGAATGGAACAATATTCGAGCCATAGAAAATCAGTCAACACAAACAAAGGTACTGTATTTTGTATTCAAATAAAGTGAAGAATGACGTAGAAAGGAACTGTTAATTAACTCAAACATCACATCGTCGTTAAAAATAAGGACTACTTTTATGAAATCCCGAAAATTCGTGATTTGGTTAATAGCAAACAGCTTAGATATTCTTCGTTTAATGGGTCGAGAAGTTGATCCGCACATATTAATCAAGTTCATAGTCAATTGCATTGTAATGATCTATACTCTAGTAACCACGGTACACTTGCATCTTGACAACATTCTAATGCTATTAACCTTAGCAACTTAAATCGGTCTTTCATATCTGTGAAATAAATATCATAATAAGTTAGTGTGTGATCACACCCTCATATTATATTATTCTGATGTACTCAGTTGTAAGAAAAGGAAAGGAACGACAATCAGGAAACTTGAGCATTTATTTTTGAGTGAATTAGTTAGTATATTTTTGATTTATGATATGATTCATGATATTTTCTGTAGCTTTAACTCTAAGCCAGCTTTTGTACTACTCCTACTACTCATAACTATCTTACTCAGAATTATGTCAATAAGAAAGAGACTATTGCCAGTTCAACGTCAAATATATGTTACTGCACATTTACATATCTCTTATGTTTCTGCTACAAAAATACTTAGAAATTCGCCAGAAATTTATAAGTTTCATACTTTGAACATGAATTCTGAGATGCAGGTACACCCAGCTGATGAGTCTTAAGTAGGACGAAACGCACGTTCTGGATTCCATTGCTAGCCACTATTTATCTTTGCTTAAAAAGCTTGTGAATTGAGACAATATCGAGGCAATCTGTACAGGATGTACATATGCCAACATGAGATTGACCAATGCGGTCTTAAACCTCAATGGGAAGATTCAAACAAAACAATACTAAGTGAATTTTATTTGTTTAGCTTAGAACTAGTAGGTTCGGAAGGTGAACATTCCTAGACATATGACTCGATTGTCCATAAATACTCTTGAATATTCCAATGGACTTCAGCGACGTAATGAAATTAGTAGTATTGTTTACTTACATAGAATAGATTACTCCTAGTCTCCAGATAAGCAAGAAAACACTTTATCTCGATGAATGTATAGGATATTATCAGATGGAATAGTACTTATTACCATGTGTTTCTAAAATGTGATAGGACTATAGATTTAGATTAGTATAGAATTCAATTCGTCAGCAGAGAATTTGAAGTCAGCAGTATTTAATTGTATGATGGAATTGTGACAAATAATCCATCATGTAAAATGAACAAAAGTAACGATAATCATCCACATAAATGTTTCAATTAACTACGATTTAATTGCATGAATATGGAAGATTATATGGAACTGACTAGAACTCAAATACTTATAGTAAAGAATCCAACAGAATGTGAATGAAAATCTGTCGAGAATATTCAATTGACAACTGTCTGTAGTTTTGTTAGTCAATAATAACCTAGTTGTGCTTGTATTGTGATTGATTATTTTTGAAGTAATTTGTTTTCGTATAATAAGTGTATAAAAACGCTTATAATTAGTTACATCAAATTTGTAGATAAGCCTTACTAACATTTCTAAGCTAAAATGAAATCTACATCAAAGTGTAGTGAACAAGAACACCGATGGGGACAATCGACTGTATTTGACACAACATTACAGGACTTGTGAATAAAATCTAACAATCATATAGTAAATGCTTAATTTGCAAAATGTCCATCGATTGTCTCAAAATAACTCAGACTTCATTGTTCTTGCATTTTCACACAAATTGCATCCTATTTCTATTCTTCACTGTTTGATCCTCTTGTCTCTCTGCTGCCAAATCTGTTCACGACTAACATCATCTACTACTTATGTCAATATAAGTAGCACACACCACAAAAGTAGTTTCCTGCTAATCTCTGCCAACTATCATCACATTATTGCTGTTATTTGATAACTAAATTTCTCGTGAAAATATACATATAATGACTCCCATTAA